CATCGCTCCTGGAACCTGCCGAGCCTTATGACCAATACACAAGACTACTGGATACACCACGGCGGCTCGCGTGATGCCAACATTAGCCACTTTGGCCATCTGGCGGCTGCACGTGATCTAGCCCGCACGCGCGCCGGCCAACATGGGGCGGTCGATGGCGTGCTGGTGGCCGGGGGGACGGCCGGCAGCACGAGCTGACCTCGTGAAGAGCCGAGCCCACCGCGGACCAGGCCCATCATGTCCGAGATCTGCTGCAGACACCCGCCCACGGAGTTGCCGTCGATGACGCCCGTCTCCACCAGCCGGTCCAGCTCCGACTGAAGGCACAGGACACAGGTCAGCACAGGACTGGCCAGCACCGACTGCAGACACACAGGACACGGGTCAGCACAGACTGGCCAGCTCCGACTGAAGGACACAGGACACCAGGTCAGCACAGACTGGCCAGCTCCGACTGAAGGACACAGGACACACCGGTCAGCACAGACTGGCCAGCTACGACTGCAGGACACAGGACACAGGTCAGCACAGACTGGCCAGCTCCGACTGCAGGACACAGGACGCGGGTCAGCACAGAGGGCGCAGCTGAGCACAGAGTAACCCGCTCTGACAGCTGAACACAGAGCGGCCCGCTTCGGCAGCAGAAACACTCGAACAACAGACAGTCACTGGCCCAAGCGCGGAGTGACAAGCTCTGACTGCAGTGAAAACGCTTGATGACTCGGACAGACCGTGTCATCAACACATGCTGGAAGCACAATTATCCATACCGGTGCACGTCAACCTAATCCACCCTCATGCCGGGCAATGAAAAGCTTTTACCTTCCGAAGCCACACGGACGGCACGAAAGCTAGGCTAGCGTGGGGCGGCCCCACCGCCCGTGATGCAGAACAAAGACGCAGCCCGTCAGCGTTAACTATACCTCCCAGCGGCGGCTATCATGAGCTGGAGTCCGCGAACCGGTGACATCCAGCTATTAGAAACATCGTCCACTGACTGTGAGCGCCACAACTGAGGCCACAGTCACATCGCCAGGGAGTGATGGGTCGTGATCGGGCTCGAGCGCGCGGCGGAGAGAGGACCACCCCGCACCCGCCGAGCCGGGGCCCACTGCAGAGGCGGCAGCGCCGGCCAGCACGCCGCCGCCTCCTCACCTTGAAAGTTTTGGAGCTGAGAATGGCCTCGACCCGCTTCCTGCGCGCCATCTCGCGCATGTCGGCATCCACGTCAGCAGGCCGCATGCGTTGGCGCTCCTGCTCCTCCTCGGTCAGGCCGTTGGTGCCGCCGCCACCGTTCGTACTCGCCGGCGCCTCCATTCTGCTGGGAGCGTCATGGAGACGGTCAGGGGTGAGGTCACGGGGAGGGTCGGCGGTGGGGTTTCAAGAAAGGCCGGCGGTGAGGTCACAGTGAGGGTTGGCGGTGGGGTTACAGTGGGGGTCGGCGGTGGGGTCACAGGGGAGGTCGGCGGTGGGGTTACAGTGATGTGCGGTGGTGGGATCACGGGGAAGGCGGGCGGTGAAATCGCAGGGGGGGTCGGCGGTATGATCGCAGCGGCGGGCGACGGTGGCGTCATAGGGAAAGCCGGCGGTGGGATCATCACAGCAAGAACATGTCATGTCATTGGGGCTTTACGAAGCACTCAGCTGCTGAGGCTATATGGCGTCGCCTGCCTCTCACGCTGGCAGGAAGGACGGGCACCGCGGGGAATCGAGCCCCGTACCTCTGGTCTCCCAGACGCGCAGTGGTTAACGCAGACGTGCTAACCACTACACTACCGCACCCCACTACCGGTACAGTACACTGTACCGGTAGTGGGATGCGATCTTACTGTACCGGTATACTACCGGCACACCAAGATCATCAGCAGACAATATTCTGGGACAGCTGCCGTGGCGTGACGGCCCAGATATTCCCCTGCCGGACGCGGACATGGGATTTATGCTCATTGTTTAAGGCCCGGAGAACCTCGCGCCGCGAATGCAGGACACAGCACGGTCGTGCGGCGGGCCAGGCTGATTCTGAGCAGCGCCGGTATCGTCGATAACCATCTACACGGCTTGCCGTGCTGATGCATGCCACAAATACATGCCACCAATGTTCAAGTAAAGATACAAGTCAATCGAACGATGCAAAGTAACGATGTGGTGCAGAAATGCTGCGCACTAAAAGCCTGTAAAAAGATAAAAGGACCAAAAGCATCCCATCATTCGCGAATTACGTCACACGCTGGCGGGCTGCCGCCCGCAACCAATGAGCGCCGGAAACGCCCAGTGGCCAACTGAGCAGACTTTCACTCCGACGCGGCGGGGTACAGAGCACGCCTTTCGGATGCTGGCCAGCCCCACTCTGGGCGGGTGGGGGCGCGCTCTTCGTGTCAGACGTCGATAAACCTTCCTAACGCTCGCCGGCTTCGTTGGAACCTGCGCCCTATCACAGTCAGAGTTCTCAACCAAACTCTCTCGTCGCGGAACAAAGCGCCGTCCAGTCTCCGGCCACCACCCTCCGGGCCCTATTGTCAGAGCGCGACCGGCCGTGTCAGCCCGCGGCAGTGTATCGTCAGCATCGGACTCGATGTGACGTCACACTCCCACCGCAGGTTCGATGTGACGTCACAGTCCCGCAGGACCTGAATAGTTACCCTATTTCTTCAAAACGGAAGTCAACGAGCGGAAGTCTATCCAAAGCTACGTTTCAAGCCCGTCCACTGCTCGGGTCACGGCGGTCGCTACCGCCGGCCACTTCGATGGGAGTCAGTGAAATGTGGGGCCGGACGGCCCGGCGCGGGGCCGGTGAGCATGCGTTTCTGTCGACCTCAGGCCGAGCAGGCGCCTGAACTGACGCAGCGGCCGGCGCCTGAACTGACGCAGCGGCCAAGGCCTGAACTGACGCAGCGGCCGGCGCTTGAACTGACGCAGCGGCCGGCGTTTGAGCTGACGCAGCGGCCGGCGCTTGAGCTGACGCAGCGGCCGGCGGCTGTCTGCTGCAGCGGCCGGCGCCTGTCTGCTGCAGCGGCCGGCGCCTGTCTGCTGCAGCGGCCGGCGCCTGTCTGCTGCAGCCAAGAGGACGAGTTTTCCGCATGCCGCCTGGCATTTGAGCCAGTTAATGTAACGAGGAAGTACGGAGATATTCTGCCGCGAACAAACAAAATGATTCGCGGATGCAGAGGGTGTTGGTCACATTTTGTGCCTTGCAGACATCCTATAGCTTAGCAGCATTTTTGTACAGCTGTTGGGGGAGGGAGGGGGGGGGGCCACATTCCCTGCATTTTGTGTTATATCAAGCGGTTTCAAACATGGCATAACCGCATCGTATTGTCCAAGGAAGCTTCGAAGTGGCCATCGATCTGCATGCCATCGACACTTAAATGGAACTCGCAACAGATATATGAGAAATGTATGCGGTCAATGACCAGCAGCGCCCATGTTCTCCTCAACGCCCCCACTCGACCCCTCCCCACCGCCGCCCACTCCCAAGAAGCACGTGGACTCCCACACACCTGGGAACCGATGCCCACTAATGGCTTGTGAACCGCGTTTCGCCATTAGTCCCCGGCGAGCGCACGGTTTCCAGCGTTGCTCTGGCTTTACGGGACCGATCCTATGCTGCTGCTCCAAACGCCAACCAGGTCTACATGCACCGCACGGGAGAGAACCTGCCTCTGATTTCCAGGCGGGTGGCATGTCGCCCACGTTACAGGTGTGACTGTGCGGCCAAACCCGTCCGCGAAGCCATGTGACGTAAACCCATAGCATGCTGTGCATAAGCCAGCAGCGCCAAGTCTATACCGCAATGTCGCGCTGTCACCGCATGGCCCGTCACGCGGCCAGCACAGCATGCAGCTGAAGCTGACGGTGCGGCGGGCGGTGCCTATCGATCACTCGGTACTTAGCGGCGGACGGGTCCCGTCCAGCAGCCCCGACTGTGGGCGGCATTGGGCGGTGACACGCACTGGAGATGCAAGATCTGCTGCCGCCGTCCCGACAGCCCACGGGTTGGTGCTGAGAGAGGCCCGGTGGTGTCGACGCCGTGCCAGGCTGGCAACGCTGGTGCAAGGTCAGGCCGGCCTGCACCGAATGCGCCGGCACTGAGTGGCCAGTGCTGACGTCAGTTGAGCCCAGCCGGTGATGGCTCGCACGCGGCCGGCGGAGACGCGGGACACAAACGCGTCGACCGACAGACGAACGAACAGACGCGCAGGCGGAGTGAGACGGACAAACAGACCGCCAGAGACGGGTCGATGTCTGACGAGAGGCTCAGTCAGAGGGCGGGGAGGGGGGGGGGCGTCAGGACCGCGGCCACAGGTGGCAGGGTGTCCAGAGCCTGTGACCGGCCAGAGCGGGCCGATGTCTGACGGGCGGCTCAGTCAGGGGGCGTCAGGACCGCAGCTCACAGGCGGCAGGGTGTCCAGAGCCTGTGGCCGGCCAGAGACGGGCCGATGTCTGACGGGCGGCTCAGTCAGGGGGCGTCAGGACCGCAGCTCACAGGCGGCAGGGTGTCCAGAGCCTGTGGCCGGCCAGAGCGGGCCGATGTCCGATGGGAGGCGGCCGCGCCCGGCGCCGGCGCAGGGACACGGGGATACGGACAGGGACACGCGCCGGCGCAGGGACACGCGCCTGAGCGAACGCCCACCGGCCAACTATCTCTTTGCGAGAAATGGTCCAATGGGAACTAACCAAATAACCACAACCGCTGAGCACTTCACTAGTGGCTCCAAAGATGCAATGCACGGTGATTTTGATAGATTACAATGGTCTGACGGGGGGTTTGAAATGAATGATTACAGAGGGCGTGACGTGTCGTGATCATTGGGGCTTTACGGCACACTCGGCTGCTGAGGCTATATGCACCGTCTGCCTCTCACCCTGAGAGTAAGGGCGGGCACCACGTGCAATCAAGCCCACACCTCTGATTTTCCAGGCGCGCAGTCGTTTTACGGGGTACCGGTGCAAACTCTCCGCCGATGAGGGGGGGGGGGGGTGGCGCCGGTCGTGACCGCGCCACATAGGGGGCGGCCGCGCCGTGCCCGGCTGAGCATGGCGCAAGGGCAGGCGGCACGGCATGTGTCGCAACAGCCTGCCATTCGATGGCTTCATGGCGATACGAGCCACAGTCCCAGTGAGCACGCCACGGCTATGACCCCAACGTAACTTGACACTCACTAGGGTACGCCACCCATGCGTACCGTACGGCCTCCATGTACATGTCGTCTCCATATACACTATACACTCTTCATGCACACTCAGTCTCCGTGCGCACTCGGTCTTTGTATACACTCAGTCTCCGTGTGCACTCGGTTTTCGTATAACACCCGTTCTTCGTAGACACTCGAGCTCCGTGTACACTCGGTATCTGTGTATACTCGGTCTTCGTATACACTTGATCTTCGCATTCACTAGGTCTTCGTATACACTCGGCCTCGTTCTTCGCATACACTCGCTCTTCGTATACACTCAACCGATTGCGCTGACCCAAAACTCCAGTCGGTAGCCCCGGCACGTTTATCGCCGAGTAAATGCAATCTGCTGACCTATGCGTCATCGGATGACGTTGGAGGCCACATTCTTTCCGTGATTACAACATTTAGAAAGCTTCTAGGATCAAAGTGAATAAATTCATGTCATACACATCTTAACACATCTAAACTGTCTACTATAGCTATTACCGGCTTCGCGTCAATCAAAGCACGCTTCTGTATGTGACGTAATAGAAGTATAAGGACCATATTTTTGTAAGAGGCTGAAATTAACAGCATGATACGACATTATGGTAAGCTCGTGTGATTATTGTCATAAAATTGCGCCGCTCACAGCTGACTGCACATGCCGCAGTTAAACATTCGTTCATCACTGGGACTCCGTGACGGATCTCGTGGTCCAGAGAATCTTAACTGAGGTCAGTTGATCAAACCGTGTCGCGTAGCAAAAGTTTAACAGCCAACGACATCAAGGGTAGCACCGACCGACCCTATAACGCCTATCTGGCATGATCTGGAGTTGACTGTTTCACAGACGTCACTGAGGTGTTCAGATGCAAGTCTCGACCAGTTTTTGGTCGCTCTCTGTCCCCGTCCCCATCTGCCGGTTACGAACCTTTTCAGATTAACCAAATATGTGACAAGAATCTGCAGTGACACGCAGCTCTCAGTCTGGCAGCTGGCGGCTTCGTGCCCTCGGCTCCTTCTCCTGCCAGGCCACTCTCAGGTGCTGGCTCCGAGCTCCGAGCTCCCAGCTCCGAGCCCTCCCTCCCCCTCTCTCGTTCCTCGGCTCCCCCGCAGCTCACGGCGGCGGCCCCTGTCCCGCCTGGCTCCTGTCCAAGGCATA